AAAAATTTGTCACTTTTAATATATTCTTAAAGGATTAACCGGCGGTCTTGTTAGAAATCCACTCACTCAATTATTCGATTTCAATTGAAATGCAAATGATGCAATATGCAGCTCAAGTGCGATAACAGCCCAACAGTCAGGCTTCGAGTTTTATGTGTGCGTGTGTTGCGCATACAATTGATTTGCTGGTAGTGGCAACGGAGGCAATCCACCGAGAGAGGGTGCAAATGACTAGGAGAGAGAGAGAGAGAGAAAGTTATGTGCTTATGCATCAGAAACATATTTCATATTTTGGATGCAATCTGCCGTTGTATCGTTTGCAGATTACTTTCTTTATTTCGGGTTTTGTCACAACTTAATTTTCCAAAAACCATATTCAATTTAAACTCCGTGATAATAGCATTATTGTAATGAAATTTCTGGTGCAAACACAATAAACACACGGATTTACGCCTTCACACACACAAACCATATGGCTTCGAAATCGACATAAAACTGATAAGCAATCCCACACAGACACACATTTGTCGAAATTCCATGAACAATAGACGAAATCGAAGCATTGCGGTTTTGTTTGCATTGAAACTGACTTCTATTGAGTCGGCTGTTGATTATGCGATTGAAATTGTATTAGACATGATTTGAGTGGAAAATATTTTATGCATCAATTTTCCACCGAAATTATTTTCAATGGAATTAAAGCAGAAAAAAAGATTCGTTTTTTTTTGAATTGTCCAAAATGAAAATCGCCCTTTCAAAGTGTTAATTGCCGCACAGGAAATAAAATGTGTACCAGTTGACTGTTGCCGATGGCAAGAGCAAAAAAAAGAACGAGCGCAAAAAACCAACGATCCGAAAGGAAAAAAAAACCATTCGTTCGTTTGTTTTTTCTTCTTTCTGATTCAATTTTGCAAATGGAACCAGAAAAAGGAATGGATGGATGAAAAGAAAGGCGCATCAGTAAACCGACGCTTCGTACATTTCTTTTGATGATGTGCCGTCGCACAAAAGAACGGTTTGTAAACACCCAACCACATAGAAATGATTGAGCCAAAACTTAGCGCCATTATATATCGCTTGAAAAAGATAATTTCCATTTGATATTTCTTCCATTCGTTGAATGTGAATTTGCACGCTCGCGCGCATGCGAATATGAAACAAAAAATATGCAACGATGTAAATAACACTTACTACTGGGTTATAGAAACGAACCAACTTTGGTTTCATTTTCGATTGATCGTGGCGTGCACGCTTCTGCTTTGATATCTCGGCGGGCATAAAGACCGCATTTATGAAGCGTCGCACGCGCGCACGTCCACAACATTTATGCAATGTACCATGCTATTTTGCATACACCGAGACACTAACCGTTTTCACCATATGCCGACCGAATAATTGAATGATTAGGTGTGAAAATGTACGATTTATTCGACATTTACTTTTTTCCGACGCGTTATCTGGCCTCATCAAAGAGAATAACAGTATAATTGTATACGTGTATGTGTGTGTCACATCTCAAAATCGATTCACAAACTGAATGGAAATCTCAAACCAAACACACAGGACTTGAATTTAAAAAAAGATGCCATCACGATGGAAAAACTAAACAATCGTCTGGATTTTTGCAATTTGTTCATTCAAGATGAAGATATCATTAAAATCCTTCTCCACATTGTCACTGAAAACACAACAAATTAATTAATGCACTAAAATAACAACCAACAAATGAACGAACGAACGAAGGAGAAAAAATTGCCACAAAATTACAAAACAGCTTTGGTGGTGAGTCGGATTTATTGTTCGCAAATCGCAGCACCCCGTCATTGTGTTGATCTTGTTTATCCAATGCAGTTGTCGAAATTAAATGAACTTTCAATCGAAAGATGAACATTCGAGCCGTGCATTTGCCTAGAGAGAATCTAACGAAAACATCGAAACTTGTGCGAAGTGATTGCTCAATATCTTCTTTTGTTTGCCCGGGCAAATGGTGAAAAAATAACAAACGTTCGAGAAGCGCAGAGAGCGAGAGAAAAAGATAGACGGAAAAAACTGCAGCTCCAATTTGATAATCCAGTGTTGTTATTTTTTAACCGCACTTTTAGATTTTGAGCTAAAAACGTTTCGTTCTCACTCTGTCACACCGTCACCGTGTGTGTGCGTTTTAATTTTTTTTCGGTGTGTGGCTATGTGCGTTCCTCAAAATTCTCCACTTTTGCGTGCGTCATTTTTCGATTCACAGACCTTTCATCGCTAACCGTATTACTTTTATTGTTATTACGATTATTTTACTATAAACATCGGTGCCGGGGTAATAAACCCCCCGAAAAACAATTTTCCGCCTTTTTTCTTGCTTTCTCTCTCTCTCTCTCTCTCTCTCTCTCTATTCGTTTATCTATGTTTCAGCGCATTGCATGCCCTCTCTCACTTGTGGTATACGGCCCGATCTAAATCCTATTGAATGTGAAGCTGCTTTCAATTCAATTGTGTGCTTGTCATGTGGGTATATATCGAATACAATGAGAATTAGCACACTGTTTGTGTGTGGCAGTGTAGAGATAACGCAATTTAAATGCTCTTTTTTGTACTTATTTGGCTCTAGGTTCAATTGTGCATTTATTTTGTTTTTGTCTAGTTTTTTTTTTTTGCTACAGTATTTTTTTTTGTTCTGTGTTGCTGCTTTTATGCCCTCAATCTTTACGAACTGTTTGTTATGCTTCTTCTTAAAAACGATACACTTTTTTGTGGCTCTAAGCGGAAAAAAGGCAAAATAAGAAGAGATGGAGAGACCAATTGGAAACACAGTATAAAATTCGCATTTCATGCCAATTAATATGAAATGTTCTTTTAGTTTTTCTTTTCTGTGGCTCGGGTGTACATATCGAACGAATTGCATTTATTGTGCGCAGCATTCAATTCGAATCGATCGTGATCATCAAAAATAAAGATGCCCTCGAATCAATTCAATTTCATACCTGAACGATTTAATTTCTAGACGTATGTCGAATTGCGGATTTTGATGATGCAATTTTGTATCAATTTTATTCTCGGTCTCGACAGACTGCAAGTTTTTTTTTTCATGCGTAGCCAAAACAAAAATACTTCGACGGGAGCGCGCGCGCGTTCCAAATTGTATCGATTTAAGATGATAGGAGAAATAAAAATGAGAAGAAAATAGCTGTAGGCAATCCAAAGGCAGCCTATTACATTTTGCGTCATCATCATCACCAGCATCATCGTCATCGTCATCGTCATCTTGTCATCATGGACAAGGAATCAACATCCATATCAATTACAAAGTGGAAAACGATGCACGAGCATCTCAATGCACTTTTATGTGCGACGAGCACATTCATTTCCAAGAATATATCAACATCATGATTGTCACATAACAACATTTACACAGTCAGCTGGATTGATCCTCATTCTGAAGTGTGTACTTTCGACTAATGAATTATTATCTAGTTGTTGCATCATCGTTAGACAGCGAAATAAGTGGTAAACGATTGAAAATCGACCATTCAAATTGTGAATAGAGAAATCAATCAGAACGGTTCTACGGGGCAAGATGCGCCTAATCACATTTGAGTGATCCCAAACAACCGAAGAATCAGTTGAAAACAGAACAACGGATAAATATTGGTTATTGTTAAGTGCTCAAAACAAGTGTCATCAACTAATCAGTTGATGAATTCATCACACGCTTGAAATGTAAGGAATTGAATAGAATCAAACTTGCATACGAATGAAGATGATGCATTTGGAAAGAAAACGAGAGAAGAAAAAAAAAATAATCGAAATATTGAGACATTTTTCGTCCAAGAATTTTAATCCATAGGAATTTTCATCGAGAATATCTCCCATCGTCACTTTGTTCAGCTGAAATTCATAAATATTCTCCTCGTCTTTTTTTGCACAGAAAATCGTCGAAAAACGGGTGTAGGAGTAATTTACCTGGAATTTTGACGTAAAAAACTAGCAAAGGTATTATTAAGTCATAATTTGGCACGAATACAACCATTTGGGTTGCATTAAATCGATTGTGAAAAGAAGTGTCTGACAAAATTTTTTTTGCTGCTTCTTTTCACATCAATATTTCGGGGTGAACATGTTTGAATGGGATGAAGATGCTTTAGAGCAGAAAATCAGCACAAATTATTAAGCGATCTACATCAGTGCACAGACAATCCATGTGACACCTATAACAATTGATGTCATTGGAATTTTGAAAAGTGCATCACTCTGGGTAAAATGCACAATTCGCAGCCAAATCTAGATTACCTTTTCACATTTTGCGATCGATGGAGGTCCTCACACCACAAATTTGGAACAAATTTTACAAATAATGAAATTGAAGGGAAAATATGACAAATACAAATATTTTTATAGCTATAAGCAGAAATTTAGTTCACAGAATTAGCAGTTATCTTCTACACGAATTTGTACAATGAAAAAATGCTTTTCTTTTCCGCCACAAGGTAATATAACACATAAGAGATCTTTGCCGTAAACACATTTAATCGCGAGCCGCAATATTTTCTTTAATCGTATAGATTGTTTTGAGAGAGACATAACTGACAAACAATTTATAAAATCCGAAAAAGTTCCACTCACGACCAAATTGATAACTCTTCCTCTTTGCCATCCATAAAGAAGACATTTATCAATACCACTCGACCACATGATCCATTTGAATCACTCTTTTGCTGGTTTTTGCTGGTTTTCGTCTGCTGAAACATGTTCGTAATGGACGTAAATTGTTCGTTAAGATCTTCTTCATATATCGAACAAAAATCATCTCAATGAACAGGCATATAGACTTTGTAACATCGAAATCGAATCTATTTCATTTCCTGTCATCACCGTGATCATTTGATAAATTGCTTACTCTTTTCATTATTAATTTAACGTTTTTCAACTTTTCAAATGGAATTGTCTTGTTTGACACAATTTTGTTGTATTCAATGTATTTTGTTCAGTTATGTTG